AGCTACAGGGTGGTTGGTGCCCACTGGGATCTGCTCTTTCCTGCTGGTGCATGCAGGCTGCTGGTCAACATTGCTGTTTAGGACTAGGAAACCCACTGGGGTTACAATAAAGCTCCTCGATGGCTTCTCACTAGCTCTGACCAGCCTGTTGGTGCTGCAACAGCTCCCCTCACTACAGCCATAAAGAACAAGGCAAAAGGCTCCTGGTGGGGACTAGCATAGACATGTTCTTCCTGCATCAGGCTGGCTGACATGCCCATTATGTGTACAATGATGTCTCTTGCCTTTTCATATTGTTATTTACGGAGAGCCAGAATACGCACAGAAACCTTGTCCGCTCCCTGCCTGGTTAGCTGGTCAGTGTCTTTCCCTCACCTCACCCAATGGTCTGTGCACAGGCATTGGCACGTATCATCCTTTCTGCAGTCCCACTCCCTACTTGGTGTAAATGAAAAATGTTGCCAGTAGAAAGAACCTGCTGGGAGCAGCATCTGCTCCTTCATTGCTTATTGACAAGCTACATTCAAAAAGTGGAAAATTCCACTCTGGAAGCAAAGCCTAAGTGACAGACGTCCCACCACCTGGTGCTGGGTGAAGCACTGGGTCCTGTATTCAGGGCAAGGGAATCAGAGATTGCTGACCGGTCCAGCTGAGTTCTTGCCCTAAAAAAGTCAGGAACCACTGCTACTGGGAACTATATTGCATTGACCTAGGAATCGGGGAACACTAGGGGCTCCTATACAGGTGCAGGAAGCCTGCTCCAATGCAACTGTAATTCCAGCGAGTCTGCTGGAGTGTGGAAATTACTGCGCTCCGGCAGCCTCCAGCATCACATGCATCAGCATCCCTGTGCTTAAAAATGGTGGTGGGGCGCTTTAAACTAAAGCTGGTCCAATGAGCTTTAGGTCAAAGCACCCCAGCACCTTTTTTCAGTGCGGGGATGCTGATACACATGAAAACTCTGGGAACTTTTAATTACTGTGGCTCTTGCAGCTGTGCTAATTAAAAGTCCTCCCCGCCTCCCCCCAGCCCTCCCAAAGCACGTGTATAAACGTGCTAGGTGTGACCAAATAGGGTTCCTGTAGCTCCCTTTACATGTCAGGCTAGTGTATGAGTTTTGTAGTCCTGCCTCTTTACCTTCTAGTGGAGCTCAATTTTAACTCTTTAGCAGCAGTCAGCAAGCAGGAGATGTGAGATTATGAAAGACAAGCATATCTGGTCCTTCCTCTTTCAGGAACGTGATTTGTGACCCCTTTTCCCCTGAGCTGCTGGAAAGGCGATTGCCAGAGCCACAAGGGATCTCCTGTTACCATAACACCTAGCCCATTAGATACACAGGGATGAATGCAGCAAGCATGTGGCCTCTCTGATGTAGGCCAGGGCCTCCTATGCTCTCCATCCTGTGCTCGGCACCCATGAGGCTGTGGCTGCTCGACAGAGACCCCTTGCAGGCTGAAATGATCATTTCTGTAGTCTCTCTGGTTTAAGTTTCATCCCATGGGCATCCCAGAGATGATGCATGCAGACAAGGAACCTCAGTCCCAGCATCAGAGAAAAGTGCTACAGGTCATGACAGTCTGATGCCGCTTTCAGACAACCTGGTGTCCCGTTCACAGTTGAGTAAAAATCCTCTGGAAACTACTTGGGGTGGGCACTAACAGGGGGTGGCAGATATCCTACCTGGACCTTTGAGTGCTTTGTGAAGCCATCACCAAGTAACCATATTAATAGCTCACCCTGAAAAAAAACCTCAGAGTCCTTTAGTCCACACTACCATACCGCCTCCTCTGTGAACTGTGGGATGCTGTGCCCACATATCGGTATGTCTATGTGACACAATGCAGTGCAGTCCAGTGCAGACACCTTGACTAGAACTGGAAGCAGCATAATCATATTAGTGCAGTACTCGGGATGTGGATTTTCTCACGTAACCAGCAACTTCCCCTCCAAAACGAGCTGGGGAAAATTGGGGTGTGCATTCCATGCGAGAAAAAGGGCTCCCCAAGGGTCTGGACATTTGGCAGCAAGGGATAGGGGGCATGGAGCACAGGCAGCATTACGCTCTGGGAGACATGGTAATTAGTACTGGCTTCATGCCCTCCCCACCCCACCACCAAATTTCTGGGCCCACGGGGAGTCCCTCTCCCCAAAAGCATGCTGGATTGGGCTGGCACATGGGGCTAGTCCTCAGCAGGAGTGCCAGGTCCAACCCAGCACACAGCCTCAGCTCCAGCATGCCAGGCTCTATCCCACACACTGGCTGCAGAGCAACATACCTGGACAGACTCAGCATACCAAGTCCATGACAGCCGGCACTGGGGCCATGCACCGAGTCAGACTCTGTATACGACTTCAGAGCCCGCACAGGATCCCAGACTCAGCATGCAGCCCAAGCGCCAGTGCCAGACCAGGCCCTGTTCCTGTGCAGTCCCCAGCCCCAGAGACCCCAGATCTCAATTATTCATCTGTACCTCAAGATAAGCTTTTTTTCCCTTCTTAGGGCCTTTCAAAAATAGGGTGCATGTCATATTCAGGGGGTGGGGGGAAGGTGTTACATACAAAAAAAAAAAAGTACCCTTCTTCTCAGCCAGGCAACTTAGCTTAGCAGAATGCTATGCTATACAGTTTCTGGTACTGAAGTTATCTCATTCAGAGTTAGCTGAGGTATCTCTACATGGCACTGTATGCACATACATACACACATGATCTTGTGCTTTACCTATCCCAGACTTTTTCTGATGGCAGACAGGAAATTCACCATGTTCACAGCCAGGTATGTCCAGCAACTCTGAGTGGCGCTATTACAGAGCTATGCCAGCAGAGCTTGGAGCATGCCTTTGGTGGGCACTAACTGCTGAAGGGGCTGCAACAGCCTGCAGAAGGCACAGGCATGCCTGTGTATGCCTTCGACCCACTCCCAAGGAATGGCAATAGCCTCCTGCTGGCATAGCTTCCCCATGCAGATAAGGGAGAGCTGTAATTTGAATCAGAGCAGCTTACACTTCTCCCCTGCAAAAAGCAGCTTTGCTTGCCTACTCTTGTGGTCTGCAGCTAGAGCAGCTCTGCTAGAGGCTGACACAAGCTCAAATCCCCAATGGAAACAAGGCCTTAGCCTCCAGCCCTTTCCTATGTACCAGCTGAATGTGAAAGGCAGGCAGAGATGCCCGGTGCCTAGCTTTATCTCCAGCTTGGGGACAGGAAGAAGCCTGTCATTCCATCAGCTCTCCTGTCAGGGACCACTGCCTATAGCTCAAGCTCCCCAGGGCCCAGCCCTGAGCAAAAGCATAGGTTAGAGCAGAAGCATGTGCAGCAAGGAGTTTCCGACATGCAATGTCCTTTGAGACGAAGAAAAGGAAACCAACTATTTCTGCTTGCTCCATATCTTAAATGAAATCACCAGGTCTCTGCAAAATGAGAGACAGGCAGGAACAGCAGAGCCTGGTGTGAACTGCCTGCACTGAGGCAAGAGGCAGAGCTTCTCCAGCACTGATCGCAACCAGCTCAGTTGCAAAGAAGAGCCGCATGGAGCTGCCATTGCCGTCACAGGGCAGGCTGCTCTTTTCCATGGGCAGCAGCTGTGTGTGGATCTCACAGCCTCCCCGACACTGCAGTTCAGGGCCTGGAGGGGCGGGAGGTCAGTGCCTATCACCAAACATTTCATGCATATTTCATTAGTTAGTGGTTTTTCTGGACAGGTCTGACTCCTCTGCCCTTTATGGAACGTCACCTCCCAGGCAAAGGAGCTGCTAGCAGCGGGCATCTTCCAGGCAGCCGGCCAGGGAATGGCAAGCAGGAGAAGGCACAGAAGGTCAGTGTTGTCGCCGTGGCACCGTGTGCTGCAGGAATGATGCTAACGAGGGCATGGGGGGTAGGTAGGCTCTGCAGTGTGCCAGCTTAATGCTACCACACCAGGCACAAATGGAATGAGTCTGCCAGTTCCACAACCTGGTTCACAACCTGCCAGCGTTAGTGAAGAAAGGGAGGTTTGAGCTGGGATTGCCTGGAGCAGCACCCTCTGCTCAGCCCACAGCACCAAGCCTGTCTCATCCCCTGCGTGCTCCCTGCTCTGCATGGGAGGCAGCAGTGCTATACTGCAGGGCCAGGACCCCAGCCCTGGCATATGGCTCCTGCGCCCGCTCTGTGGCTGGAAGCAACTCTCCTGAATTTATCTGGGTATCACTGGATTTTTTTTTTAACTCCTAAAACTTGCATCACAGACTTTCAGCCACCAGGAGGGATAGGAGCCCCTCTGCTGGGAACCCCAAGGACTTACGTTAGCCTCAAATAATGGATGTTTGCCATTCTCACCTTGGCCTCTCCTTCTCTTCACTGATCTAAACCATCTCTCTGCCTCCTCAAAGGTTGTAGTGGTTTTATGCAGGCACCTAACCAGCTGTCCAAGCCCTGATGTCACTGTGAAATCTTACCAGAGTGGCAGATACAGACCTAGCTGGGCACTGAGACCATTTGAATCACAGCCCTGCTGGCCAGCTGGCCAAAGGACAACAGCAAGTTACAAGTTGGCATAATTTGCTCAGGAGAGGAACAAGACTGGACTGGAAGCAGGGGGTCAGATGTGGGGTGTGTTGGCAGATCTGAGGGAAAGACAGCAATAACAGAAAGCAGGACAGAACAGAGGTACCTGGCGAGCCATGTGGAGCAAGAATGCAATAGCAGGAGGGCTGCAGGTCAGGATGAGGAGCATCAGCAGAGCAAAAGGAGTGGAGGCAGAGTGGATAGAGTAAAGGAAGCAACTTCAGGCATGGGTTACAGCTGAGCCTGGTGGGGGGGAGTGGATTTTTGCAACTCCCTCATGCCCCCTTCCCTAGTTCTGTGAGATCCTTTCAACAACAATGCACCACTTTCTAGGCACTGAAATCCCCCCCTCAAAAGAAAGAGCAGAGCTCAGAGGAGTGGAAAGAGCCAAATGCCAAGAAGCAAGGGAACTGCCAGCTGCGAAGCTCACGGAGGGATGAGGAGACAGACAGAGGTTTCCTTACCCTTTCCGAATGACGACAATGATAGCGCCAAGGAGAATAATTAAGACAACCAGCCCTCCAGCACAGATGCCCAGGATCAGGCCCATCTCCTCCGAGTGCTGGGACACCTCCAGGGGACGTTTGCTCTCTTTGCAGGCAGCTGCAAGGGGAAAAAGCACAGAAAAGAGGGGTCAAAAATTCAGCTCTGACCTAGTTTCTTTGCAGCTGGCTTGGCAGATCCTTTTCACCGACATGCACACTTGCCTGAAGAAGCACTTGTCAAGGAACCAGTGCCAGGCAGGCTGTGCTCATCAAGCTTAAACACAACTGGTCAAGGCAAATCCCACACTCAAGAGGCACAGACATGTGAACATGCTGTACAGGAACACATGCATGTGCAAAAAGCTCCCCACAGACATGCAAAATGTATCCCACACGGGCAACAGCTCCCCTACAAGCATGCAGAGAGCATGGGCACGTACAAACACACCAGCTCACAGGTGCATACATGCAAGAAAAATCCCAAGTGGACACAAACAATGCACTCTCACCGCTACATACACAAATGTATACCTGCGTGGTGTGCACACACACACACACACACACACACACACACACACACACACACACACACACACACACTAAAGCTCCCTTGCAGGTATAGGTAATGTGCACATGCCAAATGAACCCTCACAGACATCTGCAGTCACGCACCAGCACTAAGGGTCACACTCAACTCCAGCAGGGTGGTCGGAGTAGGGCAGTGATTCTCAACCTTTTTAGACTCAAATGCCAGCTTTTAGTTTTCACTTGGATTTCTGACTAGCAAAAAACAATGTCGTAATACTTCTATTGCAGAGAATTCAGAAAGACCACAGCAGGTCAGTGAAACCTTTAGGCTCATCTTGCAAATCATGCTTGCACACCTAACAGTGCTAACATCGCATGGCACCCTGTAGCACCCCTGGAAGTGCATCAAGGCACATCAGGGTGCTGCAGCACCCTGCTTAAGAACCACTGGAGCAGAGGATTCACACTCACACACACACACACACACACACACACACACTGCAGTGCCTATTCAGAAATTGTTGCAATTAGTTTCCTGTTGCCTACAGATCTGAACTCTCCTTCTGGGATTTCAAAGGGGTCGGGCTGAATGCCTTGTGTATCTAGAAGTGGGAATGAATGACTCCAGCCACCACCCCTTGAGGTAGGCACAGGTCTTGCTTGCAGTACCCTGAAGAGTCTTTAATCCGCTAGGCCACAGCAGGAGGCATACCCGTGGCAAAGTGCATGTTCTCCCCAACCAGCAGCAAGCAGCCTGCTTGACACCCATGAAAGAAATGTCCTTGCCCAAATGGGTTCGACACCTGTTTAATGTTCTAGCAAACAATCCAATCTAATCCCCACATTAAATGAGGCTGCTTAATGTTCTGATCCAAACAAACAATCAAACAAAAGAACAACCCCATCAAACTTCTCATCCAGCCAAAGGCGGTCAGAAATGAGCTGCAGCTCTTTGTCTCCTTTCCGCTCACCCCATCCCCATCTCCTCTATGGATCCCTCCCCCAATCCGGTGAGCTGAGTGTGAGGTCCTTTCAATGGCACTGCATCAGGCTGGAGGAGGGTCACATTGAATTATTTAAACTTGCAGACAGAAGGAGAAGAGAGGCACGTCAGGCAGAAGTTCCCAACTGTGCAAGTCATGAGTTTGCATTGAGTCAGCACTTGCATGTGCATCACTGAAGTTGTTCCCTGGGAGAGCCCATGCCCATGCTGAGGAAATTCACTCTCAGGCATTTGCTGAAGGAAACAGAGATAGCAGAGGCATGGCCAGTGCACTGCCAGGCACATTCCAGGGCTCTGGCACTCCAGAAAGGGAACACAAACTAAATGGACAGGTAGGTCATGTGGACAGTTGGATGGACAAGAAGTTTTGGTAGGTGGCCTGAATGGACTGGTTCCATGAAAGGACAAGGTGGACAGGGTCGGTGGAGGGTTTAGGTCATCCTGGGCCAGCCTGCTTAGCAAGCCAATCTGCTTGGGCTGCTACTCTGCTTTTTGCTCTCTACCAATCTGCTGCATGCCGCGCACAGAGGCTGCCCGTGCCACTAATGGCATGTGTGCCGCAGGTTGGACACCCCTGGATTAGGCAGTGAACTGAGTGGATGGATACCCAGATCAGAGGGTAAATGAGCTGAAAGGGCTCTGTGGAAGGGTTGGGCAGATGCACTGAGAAGATAGGTAAAATGGACAAGTCAAGCAAATCTCTAAGGGAATTTCTTTTGCATTTTCCTGTCCTCCCTGCATGCTGGGTGCTGAAAGGTGCTCTCTCTTCTGATTAACCTTCTCTTCTCTACCTCAACTCCCTTGAGGTCTGACTCCACAGTCCCTCAATAGGATGGGCAAGCCAGCAAGTTAGCCCTGCAGCCTGCTCTACACCACCTTTAAAGCCACAGAGAGATGATGATGATTGTGCAGGATTAAGACTCTTGCTGCTGCCTTCACTCTACGATGCAGATGGGGGACGTCTTGGTCATGAGATAGCAGTCTGACCTAGCCTGGCCTTGCTTCCCTCCTCCAAAGGACTCCTCTCTTCACCTTGCTTTGTGTGGCTTAAAGAGATACTATTAAAGTTAGCAGGCCAAGAAATTGGCCCTGCCAGGACGGCTGGCAAACACAGGTAACAGGCCCATGCAGCCCCCCTCTCCCCCTTCCTCCATTGCGCCCATCTGTTCCACTGTTGTGTGAAGGCAGTAAAGAGTAATTAACAGGAGCCCTGCTCCCTGAAGCACTGCACTGTGCATCTCTTTGCAGAGACTGCCTCCCTCCCAGGCATAAAGCAGCATTTATAAGCCATAAAAAAGATGCAGAAGACGAGAGCGGAGGTGTCTATCCAAAAGGGAATCATCATGCTGCCATCAACACTAGCCTGTTCCTCCTTGCTCTCAAAGAACAGTATATGAACCACTGTAGAGCCCCTACACACGCAGACAATCCTACCCAAACACATAAATACCCTCACGCACAAATGCACGTGTGTATATACACACACACCACATCCACACACCTTTCCTCCCTGCATACACTCTGTACATACACATCCTTCTTCCCCACACCCATACCCACTTCCACCCTGCACACACTGTGTATGCACACCATTACATACATGTCATGTTTCCCACACCTCCCCCCATACACATGCCCCCCACTTCCAGGGCTCTCCCATTCTGGTTTGCCTACTGTGCAACTAATGATGGTTTAACTCTTGCTTTTTATCAGAATGATTGCATTTTCATGCAGTGCCTTGGCAGGGGCAGAGGGTGCTTTATAAATAGTGTTATAATGATAATGAGGATTATTAATAAACCCGTACAAAGCAGGCATCCAAAGGGGAGACAGAGGAATAGTGCCCAGCCTCAGGATGTGGTTAAAAGTCTGCCTGTAAATCAACTCTCATTTATAATGTTTCCTCCAAGGGTGGTTTAATCAATTCAAACATAGAATTAAGCCACAAAATGGGGGGGAAGTCTTCTGCAAAGACTAAAATCTAATTGTGGGAGTAGATTAATCCCTGCACCCAACTAATATGTACTGCAACTGCCCCCAACTACCAGAGGCGATGCTCCCCGGACTCAAGCTAGGTACCTCTCTCACCCCAGGAGCTAGTGCTTATCCCTTACTCAGCCACTAATTCCTTCCCCTTCTATTCTGAAGACTTGCAGGTCCCAGCCATTAAACCTTGCCAGTGCTACTTGGGCTGCTAACTGGTGAGCTACCCCCATACTCCCACCCCAATCTGTTCATGCCAGGACAGCCCCACTGAAGATACAAACTCAGCAAGGGTCTTGCTAGTAGCTGAATGGCAGGGCCAATGCAGTGGAGGCATTTTTTGCCCAGCTCCCCATTATCTGTCCCACCCCCAAAGCATTCACTCACTGGAAAAGGGAAGAAAGGGAAAAAAAAGGAGACAGGGTTTCAAGGGAGTGGGAAAGGGGTGTCTATTGCAAGCATGAGATGAGCAGCTCCCTCCCCCCACCACCTGTCTACTCCCCCTCAAGCTGCACACTGCTCTGTGGCACAACAGTTGTGTCCTTCTCTAAGTCTGTAGCACAATCCAGTGTCCTCCGATCCTGCCGTGCCCACATGTCCCACTGGTACACACCGACTGGGCAATATCACTGGGGTTACTGTCTTGTTCAAGGAAGTGGGCATGGCTCTGGTGTGATATCCGATGCATAAAGTGCCAGGCCCAGGTATCCCAGCTCAGAGCTAACCCCCAAGACAGTGCCAATGGATGCCTGGCTTTTAGCCTATCTCTGCATAATTCCAACACTAGCTGGTTTATAAATCCCTTTTGTCCTTTTTTAATATTCTGCAGTAGCTGCACACACATTTATGCCCATTTTTCATTTCCCACTGAGCCAGGAGTTTAAGTCACTTTATTACATTTTTTTCCCCTTCCCTGGGTCCAATAGGGAGCTAAATATATTAGTCAAGCACGAGGAATTTTATTAAATACACAAGGCCACAAAAGTTCAATCCCCCTGAAAGTCCAAACCATTTAGTTACTTGTTGAAATTCCTGGAGCAAAAGAGAAAGGCTGAAATACAAATCTCCCCACCTCGACCAATTTCACTCGCTGGAGGGGCCCCCCAGGACTGCCAGCCACACAATTACCCTAGCTAGTCTCACTTCTGGACTATATAAATGCCAAGCATGTCTACGGTTTATACCAGCTGAGATCAATTGCTGTATTTGATGCATTAAAGGGATGCTGACAAGGTCTAAAATTCAACGTCCTTCCTCCTCGCCTGTTTTTTCCCCCCAAAGGATCCACATAATTCCTTTATGTGATTCTTAGTCCAAAACAAATAGGCTTGTGAACAGGGCACTGGGCAGGAACCCAGGAGGTCAGAGGTCAACTCCTTCCTCTGCGATAGACTATATGTCACCTCTCATGCCTCACTTAATACTTCAGCTCCTGACCTGTAAAATGGGGATAAAACTGTCCTTCCTTCATCCTACTTCTTTCATCTGCTGAGATTGGAACGTCTTTGAGGCAGGAGCTGCCTCTCACTGGGTATATGTGCAGAATCTACCCGAACAGAGCCCTGAGCTCGACAAGGTTTCTGAGAGTAACCATAATAACAACATTCAAATTTAAATACTGTCAGAAGCAAAAGCAACCTGGCAACAATGAACCCTTCTTCACAGCCTGGAATTCAAGTGCAACATGATGAAATGGTGTGCATACAAATGCCAGCCTTCAACAGCCATCCTGTAATAGCAAATGACAAAGTACGACCCAGATCTCGGGCGACCCCCTAGAATGACGACCCAGCCCACGTAGGCCCAACCTCAGTGGAGCAAAGAACTATACCCAGAGAAGCGGGAAGCCCAGCTAGGATCTTACCTTTGCGCGCAATCCGAACACAGTTCAGCCTGGTTTCCTGCAGAGAGAAAAAAAGATTGGAGATTCAACCAGGATGCAAGAGAGAGATCACTGGATGCTTCTTGGTGGGGAAGCTAAAACAAAATTTGGTCAATTTACTGAAATTTGTACCTGGGGTAATGTTCTACATGAACCATGTTTGCTCTTCTGACTGTTACTCTGTCCAATGCCAAAGGGACAGCCCTGATGGACTACAAGGATCAGTACTGAACTGTCCACCCATCAGCCTGCCCTAAACCAAGCACTGGCTGGGTCTCAGTTCAGAGTTCAACAAAGGCCTATAAACTGAGCTGCAGACAGCACTGGAGCACAAAAACCCCTGTGATGAGCCCCAGGGATGGACTAGAAGGGACCCAGGAAGAAACACATCCCCCTCTGATTTAAGTGACCTGTCATTTAGATTTCTGACTGCTGTCAATAGGAAGGAATTACCCAGGTCTGACTCCAAAAGCAACAGGGCAAAGAGGAATAGCCATGTACCAGCCTTTGGACAGCAGAGCTGGACAAACATTTTCTATGGTATTTGAACTAAGCATCATTTTTCACAAAGTTTTCTCTCTGATGGCAATTTTGAAATTCTCGTATGCTGCCATGATACCGCATGGGGAGCTGCAGTTTGGTCTTCCAGCTGGACTTGGGGGTTTAGGCCTAAATATTTCAAAATTTTTAATATTCCAATTTCTGTCAAGAAAAATAAAAACGGCATGAAAAAATCTTGAATGTTTCTCAAATCCATAACTGGGGGAAAGTGCTAGCCTGCCCCTGCCCCCACTGCATCTATCACCTGCAGCAATTGCTCAGCCAGCCTCAGATGTTGCTGTGCACAGATGATGTCAGATTAGAGGGATGCTTTGGTCTTTCCTCCTAAACGCTATCAGAGAAAAGCTGACCATTTCCCTTGCTCTTTATTGAAATGCCTCTAATTTATCAAGAGTTTTGTGCAGACAAAAGGCACCAGCCTGACAGGCTTTGCAGCTACTGGCTGGGTTTTCAAATGGGGAGTATCAGCATAGTTTCACCTATGTCCACGGAGTTATAACAGATGAGAATCCAATTTACCCACATAACATACCCTTCACTGGCAGAGGAAGAGCATGCTTCACCCACACTGTCCTATTAGTGTGCCTCATGGGCCCTATGGTGAGAAGGACAAACCATCCCCGAGCTGTGATGTTGGAGCTTCATGGCGTCAGTCAGTAGCTGGGCTTGGACCACTGTCTACTTGTAGACAGACCAGGAGATGGTGACCACCATCAGTCATGACTGAGTGGGACTCAAGAGAACCAGAGAGAAGAGTCTGCCTGTCACAGGCCTAACAACAACCTAACAAGGTGTGAACAAATCCTTGGAAGGACAGCTTTGACTGCCGGCACCTTCCCACAAGGAAGGAGGCTGTCAGCTATCATCCATACTTTAACTAGACAGCAGCTTTGTGCACACCACGCCAGTTATCTGCCTGCTCAGAGCCAGTATTAGATGAGAGAGACCTTTGTTATGGCTGCTACTGGAGCCTGTCTCTTCAGGCTTGACAGTTCATACCCCTGCAGATAGGATGGGAGCTACTAGAGCACATGAAGATGACAAGGATCTCGAGGGAGCTCCTGTCCTTCCCACCATATTTTTGATAAAAGTTAGCCAAGATGGAGAACAGAACTTTAGGTTAGTCGGAGCTTATTTGCTTCTGCAATGAAGTTGGGCAGTCAAAGTGAAGCCAGCTGTATGCATCTTGGAAAGCATCAGAGAAAGACCTTGGTGGCCACTGGGGAGAAGGGAGCCTAGAGAAAGCCCCAGTGGTAAATGCTTCTTTGTATATATCCGGAAATACCAGCAGAGCAGGGATTCTTGCTTCCATGCCTGCCTCTTCCCATCTACAAATCACCTCCTTGGGAATCCTGTCTCCCTGTGTTGGGAGATGAGGGGACCCAATGAGATGCAATACCTACCGTGGAGCCCCAGGCAGGCAACATCACCCAGTGAAGATCTCCTGGTCAACTCTGCATCAGCAATACAGGGCAATCCTTTCTGCTCCTCTGCCTGTACACTGGCACAGAAGCATTATCTTACCCTGCTGAGATTTCCCTCCAGAAGCGTGACTCGGTGAGAGCTCATGGAAAGCCATTTTGGTGCACAGACATGGCAAATAGCACAAAACCACAAATAGAGGGAGGCTCCCACTTCTCATTCGCTCAGATCTAATGTGGGGCTGTTTGGGCAGCAAGGAGCTACTCAACGTGGCAGGGAGGGCCTGGCTTTATCTACTTATTGTTTTAAGGGCTAGAAATAGAAGCCCAAATAACAGCCCATCTTCCTGCAGGAAGCTGCCATCCAGGCAATGTGATGAAGCAGAGTGGGCTTCAGGGAATGCAGCTCCTGTCTGAACAACCTGCCAGGCTTTGGTAGAAGTTATGAAGCAAACCATGCTATCTTCTTAAATTTTAGTCCTATTGAGTGACTGACTCACAAAATACTGACAGCAACCAAAATACCAATTCAGAAATGGCAACAGCTTAGGAGGGCAATATTGCCTTTTGTCTGCGCTCCCTGTTCCCAGTGACTGGTGTGATTCCTGCATTAGAACGGGGTTTACAAGCAACCTGACACTGTTCTCCATGTGCTCTGAAATCATCCTGATCCCTCTCATGTCTCAGCAGCTTCCACTCCCGTGTCAAGTGACGTGACTAACCACTGTCATGCGGGGTTCATTCTCTCATCCTCTCCCAGGGAACAGCTGTGTTTGCAGTGTTATCACACAACGCTGGAGTCCTGAAGTACAACTCCCACATTGTGAAGCAACTTGGAAGCAAACATGCAGCATCAAAGCCCTCACATGCACAAAGCCAGTGGAGTTATACCTACAGCACACTGACATGTGGCATTGTAGGGTGGGCTTCTCAAAGGTGCCATCATGATCTGGACACCTCAGCCCCCCTCTTAGACAGTTTGGACAATCTGGACACCAATAACCAACATGCCTGGACTCCAAATCAGCTCCCTGATGCCCATCTCTATGACAGTGTGTTCACTCTTTTACATCAGTGCCATCCTACTTAAGGCTAAAGGTCATCTGTGGGGATCAGGCAGCAGAACTGAGATCTGGGGGGTAAGATCTGACATTTTCCTGCCCTCCAGCTCTGGCAGTAAAGTTAACACATATATGTATCTATTTAGGAACTGAACCTAGTTCCACTGAAGCCAATAGCTAAATTTTCATCAACTCCAATAACAGTAAGATCAGGCACAGAGATGACAAGTCACCTAATAAACACAGTATGAAGAAGCAGTGCAATACATGGAGACTGCTGAGACTGGCTCAGGCTGATTCAGGGAAACAGAACCATCAAGCAAGCCTCTTTGGTTTTCTGTTGTGTGTGTATTTTGACACACATGCCATCTTCCCTAAGAGTGAACAGATGTAGTGTTTGGGACTGCAGCTGGGGAGCGCAGACTCGGAAAATGACTTAAAATTCTGACCTGCGATGTCTCCCATTCCCCAGGAAAGGAGGCACACCAGATCCCATCACCCATCAAATGGCAGCTCAGTGACACCATGGCACTGGCCCCAGCCATAGAGGCAGCCATCAGCTACTCACCCCTTTCAGGTTACTCATGGCCTGGAAGTAGATAAGATAAGCCTTCTTGGGCTCCAGCGGTGGATTCCAGTATCCACTGTATGTCTGGTTGTCCCCAACAGTGAAAGGTTTGGCTTCGGTGAGGCTGCTGGGAGGCAGCTCAGCCCCAAAGTAATGCACAGAGCCCCGGGACATGGCATCGTCATACGTCAGTGGGATCGGGAAGCACTCCTGCCCACTCAACTCCCTCTTGATCTTCTTGGGCCTGTCTTCCTCCACAACAACCTGGTACGTGCTGAGTGCATGACAAGGAGACAGAGACAAGAAAAAAAGGGATGGGAAACTACAGGGATATTGGCTTTAAAATGAAGAACCAACTCTCCCCAGCCACAAAGTTCTCTCAAACCTGATGACCCAGACACCATGCCACCCCCACTCCCACAATCCCAAACCCTTGCATCATCATGGCCGGAGTGAGGAAGGCAGTTTGTGCCTACTGTGCACTTCCTGAAGATATACTCTCCCTGTAAGTCCAGACCAGAGATAAAGCTAGCCAATGGCAGCTTTTTGCTGCTAGTGCATTTTATCAATCAGCAATTTCTATACACCTAACTGAGAAGGTGAGAGGACAGTCATTTAATGCATGCAAAACACATGCTAATTTATTTAAATTAATCAAATCCTGAGGCTACAACACGCTGGCAGCAAGTCTCTGTCCTCAAATAAGCCTGGGACCCCTTGCCAGCATTCTCCACCGTACTCCGCAAACCTTACCACCAACCTATTGCAGATGCTGAAAGCAAAAGGCTGAATGGTTTCAGCTGATTCTTTCATGCAAGTGGCTGGTTACCCAACTAGCATCTAAGTTTTCTTAGGAGAGAGGACAGAGCAGTCCCAAAGGACAAGTCATAGGAGCAGATTATGATTCATCTCTCTCTGCTACCTTACTGATTTTGTTAATAAACCAGGAGATCAACATGGTGGGTTTAGACTCTACCTAGTTTTAGAACAACTTAGAAACAGTGCCTGTTTGCTCTACTGAAGGGACCATGTGAAAAATCCAGGTAGACATCTTTCCAACCCCACAAAAGCAAGTTGTGCTGAAAAGCAGCTTCCTGGCCTGCTAAATGCCTTTAAATCAGGATGGCTCCTCTACAGGGAGGAATATGTTCTGGATATAATTAAAACTGCCATCTCAGGCAATGTTTATTGCTTCCTACATCCTTCTATTACTCAGCCTCCATCAGTAACAGCACCATATGAAGATGAGTTGTTTAGGGGCCCGCAAGTCTTGCAGGCGGATCTTCTGTACCCAGACACATTAAGTCGCCAGTTCTATTAAAGTTGTTTCTTTAATAACGCTGAATCAGATCCAATCTTTTCCCTATTGAGTGTGTGTCACTGCAAACAGCTGTAGGTTATAATAACTGTATGCTACTGCCTGAGCTCAACCCTGGGACCTGATGAACAACCAGGGTCCAGATTATGGGTTTCTTCTGCTCAGATATGTTCAGCATTGGTGATAGCACAGGCAGATGCAGGGAACTGAGAAGAGTGTTTTGGCTCTGAATGTAGCTCTAAGATCTTGAGAGCTCATCTGTGGTGGCTCAGTTTGACACTTCTCACACAACTCTGTCACCATGCACTCTCCTGCATCCTTTCAATGCCACTGTGAATCAGAAGAGCACCGTAATCTAATGGCCAAGGTGGTAGCCTGGGAGTCAGAGCACCTGCCTGCACTGCCCAAGACCACAGGGACACTTGCATACTGTCTCCACTCCTGCCCTTGGGGAGCTCTTCAGGAAGCTCTGTATGTGCAGCACTCCCGACCTGGGCTGAGGCCTTGAGTTGCTACTGGAATAAAAACAATTACAACAGTATCAGTGAGTATCTCACTGAGGAGCAGCTGATTCTGTTGAGAGAAAACAGAGGCTAGTGGGATGCAAAGAAATAATTATAACACTCTGGCATTTTCTGAAGAACCCGGTGTTCTTGACATGACTGACACTTCTTCCCCCTTTTGCCGACGGGGAGACCAAGGCACAGAGGAGGGTCAGGCAATGTTGTTGGTGGAAGTGGGAGCGGCGCTTTATACACCTGCTGCTCATTCCACAGCTGCACCCGAGGCAGGACATTGTTGGGAGGAAGGCGGAAAGCTCTTCTCTTAGGGTTTGTAGCCTCTCCCATTTTGAATGAACTCAGGATCTCAAAGCCAAAGCTGTGCGCAAAGCTGGGGGGGAACTCTGCATGGGTTTGAACTTGAACCCACCTCCAGGAGTCCTGCAAGGGTGAGATCAGATTTACTCTGAACACCCCTGGATCCTGTTTGTGACTTTTTAGACTGCCTGGAAGCCATAAGCCAGGGGGGGTTACTCATGCTCTGCAGCCTAGTGTCCATCATCCCATACAGCTCAGATGATTCCTCTTTCACAGCTGTCACCCTCAGAGCCATGGCCTGGCTGCCACAAGCAGAGGCAGATGGCTTTAGGTTAAGAATAAGCAAACACAGTTTGGGCAGGAGGGAAGGAAGAGGAATTTTGTCTGGCAAAGACCCTGCATCTGGACAGCGGCCCAGGTGAGAGCAAGCAGGTTCATAACTGGGGAGAACGGCACCAGTGACTCAAAGCAAAAGTCACTGGTCAGTGTTTCTCACAAAGCATGAGCAGCTCCTTAATGGGCTCCTATTAGCCAGAGCTGCTTCTGCTTCCCTTATGAACTTCACTGTCTAAGAGGTGAAAGGTGAGCCCACAGCGGAGCTCCATGCTCAAGCTTCAGTCCGCACGTTGCATTCCTACTCCCACTCGTCTCTGTATTGTGCAGACTCAACAGCACAAGAAAGAGTGCTTCAAAGGCTGTCCCTCAGCGGAGCATGCTGCTAGAGAGCGCGCAACACAGGTCGAGCTGCATTTCCCCTGATGAGAAGGCAGACAAGTCTTCTTGGGGAATGGACAGTGAGCACTTGATCCAACACGCTCCACAACGTCGCTGCTCCTTGAGTTCATATTGGTGGTGCTGAGACATCTGTTCTGTGGTGCCCATAGGGTCTGTTCAGGTAATATGGCTTCAGTAAAACAATTTCCTGACCCCTTTCTGGGGGGAGCAGAGAGAAGGATTGGGGATAAGGAGAAATCAGCCAAGCCTAGCCACCCATCACATTTAGTGTGCTGAAGGCCTGCCAGCATCTATAGCCACCTGCAAACAAGGGGAGGATATGGCCAGCATCATATTCAGCTACCTTTGAGTCCTCAGCCTGAATAACCCAGCATTCATTTCCATCTGGATTGACTCAGGGAGGCCTTTGGCACAAGCCTTGAGCATGGCACAAACTCACACATCTGGAGCAAAACACCTTGAGCACTCTGCCACTCCAGCCCACAGGGAGTTTATTTACTTGGGCATGGCTCAGAGGAGGGGGAAAAACAGCCCAACTGGTTCATTTTACTACTTAATTTTCAGATTCCTGCAGGTAAACATCCTCAGTCTAAATTTGCCCTTCACAGCTTACATTTGCAAAGGAGCCTCCAGGGCTTTGGAGTCCCACCAACATGAGATTCATCTAATTCCCTTAGGCCTACTTGCAAATCCCTGCTGACGCATGTCACGTGCCTCCAGATTCTAACGCCATTTGCAAGCAACCGGGAGAGAGAGCACTCTGCAGTAGTCCACGTATTTCACAAGCACGGCTACAGCCCCATATGGAACGTTATCATGGGATTAGCTTGCACCACTCCATCTCTAATGGCATTATCTTCTTTCAGTGGAGGGGAACTGAGGCACAGAGCAAGACAGCGACTCTCCAAAACCCCGCAGAGCAAGGCGGCATTGACACTCAGAGCTTCCTGGCATCCAGGCCTGAGCTCAGTCCTCCATGCAGTGCTGCCTGACAGGCAAAACCCCAAGCTCCTGCAAGGCAGAACACCAAGCTGTGCAGCAACAGCCAGAAAAGAGTCTGAACCAAAGACAAAGAAGATGGACCCAGATCCCACACCACAAGGGGGTCTGTGCCTGGGGTTTTGATTTGACCTGCTGTTTACAGCATGCACACAGGGGCCAGAAAATAGTAATTATCCCTGTCAGGGAGGTGCCATTAGATTCGCCATGCAAACAAGGAAACTGAGGCCTGGGGAGGTGGGCTTGCAGGCTAGCTCACTATGGACCTCCCACTTCACTTCAGTTCCACCAAAGGAAGCACCTGAAGAAAATTATGGGATTTGAACTTCTCATATCAGCTAACTTGGGTGTCGCCAACAATGGGACAAACAGCTTGCTCCAAGGCCTTCCTGACCTTAGTCTAAGGGGAGCTCCAAGCCCTTTGAAATAAAGAGATTTGCTTGAGCCAAGGGCACAGATGTACACCAGGCTGGGAGGACAGCGATGAGCTGGTGCCAAGCTCCAAGCCCATTTGCCCAGCACAGGGGACCAGACTGCCCACCTGCAACACAAAGGCTTTTTTTTTTTCTTTTTTATTTGCAACTTAGTGGGAAGATGGGATCTCTACAAGGAAAATAGTCAGTTAAGAAAGGGGTAGATTTCCCCAAGCTCTGTAATGAACACTGAAGGCTGGGCAATATAGCCCACTTTTTGGGGAGCAATTACCCACTTGAATAGCATCACTGGTCTCTGTGTGAACTAGGTCAGTTCAGATATCCCAGGCTATAAAGCTGCTACTCAACCATACAGCAAATGCCCATAGGCAAGCTGCTTCAGACATACCTGGTTCTAACCCTCAGACCCTCTCTGGGTCTCCAGCCAGATGCTTGATAGGGGAACAGAAGTGTTACAAAGCTAGTAATCTTTCACAGCAGCAGACACTGCATTTCATGAGAAGCTTGTGAGGCTTAAGCCCTGTTTGCAGAACAACCCATGTGTCTGAATGCTGCAGGATCTTCCAAACCTTAGGAAGTCACCCCCAAGCCCTCAGTAAAGTGCGAAGCATGACATCCTGCAGTCTCCAAAGCAGGGCAGAGCAAGGTACAGATGACCAGCTCTGATGGCTACCTCTGAAACACTCAGGGAGCAGACCACCTTTAACAACCTCTCTCCTAGTCCAGGTGACACCTGCTTACATGGAGACAAGTGCTGAGTAAATTGCTGCTCAGGTACTGACTTGGCATCCTGCCTCATGGATACCCAAGTGGCTTTTAGGGGTAAGTGCGATGTGCCCTTAACCAGTGGCTCCTTAATCCCCAGGTGAAAGAGAAAGCTGGTGTGCTGCCCCAGGATTTCCCAGGAATGTAAGATAGAGAAAGAAAAAGAAGAGTGTGATTTCCTCACCCTGGGGCCCTTCCTTAGCCCTCGTGGTAATGAAAGCCTCAGGACAGGACCCTAGGTCAAACCATGCCTCGCATACAGGATGCTCAGAGCCCTTTCAACCGTCCCCGTTTTCCTACCTGATGGGGGCCCCTCTGCCCTGTGCGGGTCTCAGCAGCACGGTGATGGTGCTCTCTGACTCGCTCAGAGGTGATGGCATGTCCCCATAGTCGAAGGTGGGAGCTGCAAGGGAAGCAGAAGTGAGACAGTGATGAGCACTCTGGACCCAGCATGGAGGTAAGCAAGCTACTGACAGTCCCAGAGACAGAAGGCTACGGGCTCTCTGGCACGACCAGTCGGACAGCAGGAGCCTGAGGTAAGCAGCGCCAGAAGCAAGCATCCCTCTGGATTTCATTAATGATGTCTTCCCCTCTGTAGCACTTTCCTTCTGAGGACTTCAAAGCTCAGAAGTCCTGTGTTAAATGGCTGGGATGTATTGCCCTCCTGTGAAGCACATCAGGATCCTTGTCCCCATTGCTAAGATGGGGAAACTGAGGCACAGAGAGGCTGAGGTCAGACACAAGGTACAGCTGGACAGTGGAAGAGTCCAGAGTCATCTCCAGTCCTCCTGGCTCTCATTCTTTGCCCTACACATTGCACCAACCCTGATCTAGTGCCAGGTTTTAGCTATGTCTGACCAAAAGATTCAGGCCTCCGGTCTCTCTCACTGAAGTTTAAAGGGTTTTGCCAATGTGAGTACTGAAGCATTAGGCTCCACCGCATGCCAGCAAAGCCCACTCAGGACTCTTGGGCTCTGTCCCTTGATTCTTTGTAGGATCTTAGGCAAGACACTTAACCCCTCTGTACCTAGGTATCTCCATTGCTTAATTTACCTCAGTCCCAAGAGGAGATGCGAGGCAAAACCATCATTTCATACATGTCAGGGGCTGGCTACGAGCCAAGTATTATTAATTGGACAGATGTGTTTTGGCACAGTTGCACTGCGCTGCTATTGCCCAGTTGCTTGATTTAGAGAAAAAGGCAGTTAATATACATCAACCCATCAGAAAATATATTCAAATACCTACCATTTCCTTCAAGGGTAAGAGAGGAGCCAGTAAACCTGAGCCGGCAAGCGGTTCTGAAACCAAACTTAGGTCCAGATCTGAATGTCCCTACCCAATGGGTTGGACCGGGACCCAGTTTCCTAGCACCAATTGTGATCTACTTCTGAATTATGCAGCTTGGGACCTTTTGCACTTTGTGTTCTTCAAACCATCTGCTTTCTGATGGGGTGGAGGGGTTTTCTGTGTGGTACTGAGTGGCAGGCAGATACCTAGTGGCCTGCACAGCTGCTGTAGGAGAGAACTCAGGAATAATAATATTTATGGCAGTGGAAAATATTGGTATAATCAGAAGTTAGGGCTGCTTCCCTCACTGTTGCTATCTATTATGAGTGTGGTGATATTTGGCATTTTTTAAAACATCACCAGCTTCTGGAGTCATTCATGGGAAAATCTCAACTTCAAACACACATCCACAAATTTCTACCCCTGGTAGTTGGGGAGAAAAGCTGGAAATTCAAACTTGAATGGCTCAGAAACCAGAAAAAATAAAAGTCACTCCCAATTATAATTCTTTAAAAAAAAAAGTCACAACCTTTAAATAAAATGTCACATTTTCAGAGTGCGGGTTGGGGGCGAGACTTGTGGTTTAGAAAGCTTGAGTTGGCAAAGCTCTGGAGTGTATTAGATGCAACTCAGGAGTGACAACAGCTCGGCAGGACCAGTGGTGTCAGGACACAAATGGGACAAGTTGAAGAAAAATGCTGCATGTTCAGGACGCGGCACTGGCGAACTCAACTGTTCGGAGACACAATTCCACCTGATTTAGCACAACGATAATCTCCAGCTCAGTGCTAGGGAGCATTAGGTCACTAAAGGTACCATGTTCAGCATGAGACAAAAAACATATAAAGTCATAAGCCCTTGTGCTCACAGCATTAGCCTCCATGTCCTGGCCAAATCCCAGCTCAGCTCCTATGTTCCACCTCTCTTATTTCTCCCTAAGCAGTCATGGTCTTCACTTTCTGACCTGATATCTGGGTCAGAAGAAAGGTGCTGCACAGAAGAGAGATGTTCATTATTAACAAACACCACTCTGGTTGTTTTTGTTTTGTTCTGGTTTTTTTCCAGTAACCAGCATGGAAATGCATTTAGGCAGATCTTGCACTTCCCAATGCCATTCACCAATGGACTCGGGAAACCTTTTCTCCCCACCATGATACAGTCCCTTGCCCTCATGTCTCTGTCCTGCCTAGAGTGCCTGATTAATTAGTAGTCACTAGGGTTGGGCTCATGTTGCTTTGTAATTTCTATGCCCCCATTAGGAAACATCTCAACCCATTCAGTGCTGTTAATAGCTACACCATAGACATTAGCAAACAGCCCTGAGTACTGTATGGCTTGTTAATGAAGCCCAATTAATCCCTCGTTTGTACATTTGTAACTCAGATAGACTAATAGTTTCATTTCTGCAAATCTCCCCCTGCTGTGTGAGGTTGTTACCATGGTATAGGTACAGAATGATCCACAAAATGCAAGCTCATTTCTCCTTCCAGGGGCCTCCCTGGCCTCTCCCAATAAGGCTGACCATAACTGCAGTACCTCAAGGCTTGAACACTCTCTCAAGATGCCTGCTTGTGATAAATCCTGGATTCCCTGGCCGAACTACTGGGTAGCTCTGTGTAAGCCCCTGCGATGCCAGCACCCCAGCAATGGCAAAAACACAACCTCACTGTCTTTGAATAGGCAGTGCTCCAAAAAAGGGATGTGTGAACTCCCAACCATTGTGAGAGCGAAGCATTTTCTTCATGTAACTGGTCTCAGCACTAGCCCAGGAGACATCAGAGAGACATAGCACTGCTCTCACATGTGCCTCAGAGGCCGCTGTGATGGGTGTATCAGGTCAGCAAGGTGTGACCACAACTCTCCTTTGGGCAGAGGTAGAATTCCTCCTAGAAAAGCCAGGTGAGCTTTTCCTGGATAACCACTGGGCTGAGCACTCAAGAGGTCCAAGACAGGACTCCCTCCTATTTCCTCTAGTAGTTTCCCTAGTCTGAGGTCCTGGTGACTTCACATCACCACAGCACAGAAAGGGTCACCAGGAAGATCCCATGGGACCCCATACACAGGAGCACACAGGGTAAGGGAGCAGCAGGTATGCAGACTGTGATCTGGGGAATCTTAGAGAAAAAGCAAACCTAGTGAAAGGGTTCCCTACCCACTCTTGCAGCAATCAGGAGACACTTTATTGCTGGAGGGTGGGCAAGTTCTGAAGTTTTTCCAAATAAGAGCCAATAAAACTTGGCTGGCCCAGACAGTTTACACCCCAGGGTACTTAAGGAGTTGGCAAGCATCATAGCTCAGCCACTGGCACAGATCTTCGAGAACTCGTGGTGCTCAGGTGAAGTGCCCAAAGATTGGAAGAAGGCCAATGTGGTGCCTATCTTCAAGAAAGGGAGGAAAGTAGATCCAGGGAACTACAGGCCCATCAGCCTGAGCTCTTATTCCAGGGAAGATCTTGGAAAAATTATCAAAGAGACCATTCTAGACAAACTGGCTGATGGCAACATCTTGTGGGACAGCCAGCACAGGTTTGCTGTGGGCAGGTCTTGCCTGACCAATCTCATCTCCTTCTATGACTAGGTGACATATCACTTGGACAAGAGAGAAGAGATTGCCGTCATATATCTTGACTTTAAAAAAAGCCTTTGATCTGGTGTCCCATGATCTCCTCATGGAAAAATTGGCCAACTGTGGTCTCAGCTACATCACAGTCCAATGGCTGGGGAATTTGCTCCGAGGTCAGACCCAGAGAGCGGTAACATATGGAAGTAAATCATTGTGGTGCGCTGTGACCAGTGGGGTCCCCCAAGGCTCCATCCTTGGACCTATACCCTTTAACATCTTTATTAATGACGTAGACATTGGTGTCAGAAGCGGACTGGCCAAGTTCGCCGATGACACCAAACTTTGGGGTAAAGCGTCCACACCTGAGAATAGGCTTGTGATCCAGGCTGACCTCGACAGGCTCAGAAAATGGGCAGATGAAAACCTGATGGCATTCAATACAGAAAAATGCAAGGTACTCCACCTTAAGGAAAGAAAACCCACAGTATACTTATAGGCTCGGCAGTGCTACACTTGATAGCACCATGGCTGAAAGAAACTTGGGGGTCATGACTGACCACAAGATGAACATGAGCCACCAATGCGATGTCACAGCTGGTAAAGTGAGCAAAACTCTGGCTTGCGTCCATAGATGTTTCTCAAGCAAATCCCAGGATGTCATCCTCCTGCTGTACTCAGCCTTGGTGGGGTCGCAGCTGGAGTACTGCATTCAATTCTGGGCTCCACAATTTAAAAAAGGATGTGGAAAAATTTGAGAGAGTCCAGAGGAGAGCCACGTGCATGATCAGAGGTCAAGAGGATAGGCCTTATGAAGAGAGGCTGAGAGCCATGGGACTTCAGCATGGAAAAGCACAAGCTCAGGGGGGACCTGGCAGCTGCCTATAAGTATATAAGGGGTGTGCATCAGGATCTGGGGGAATGCCTGTTCACTAGAGCATCCCAAGGGATAACAAGGTCAAATGATCACAAACTCCTCCAAGACCGTTTCAGGCTGGACACAAGTAAAACCTTCTTTACTGTCCGAGCCCCCAAGGCCCGGAATAGACTCCCTCCAGGGGTGATGCAAGCACCTACTCTGGACTCTTTTAAGAAACATTTGGACATCTATCTTGCTGGGATCCTTTGACCCCAGCTGACTTCCTGCCCCTGGGGCGGGGGGCTGAACTTGATGATCTTCGAGGTCCCTTCCAGCTCTAATGTCTATGAAATCTATGAACTTTCCTGCCATTCCAAGGCAAGTGGGGCACAGGATGTGCCATGAAAAAAATACGGCTCTAGGGAAGTTTCAAAAGAATGCCCTTAAGACCATCTCTTGTGCCCACTGGCAGGTCAAGCCAAGTGCCTTACTCACTACAGCTGCAACTTTCAGTTCAGCACGCCTAGATGAGACTATTTTCAAAACAGCTCAAGCTCCTGCTTACACACCCAAATAAATGCCTAGATTTTCCAAAAGAGTTCAGAGCGCTGGGTGTACTTTGGGCAACTCCATGAGCCCTGTTGGGCAGTCCGGAGACAGGGACGGATCAAAACTCCTGCAGATACAACCTGTTTAAAAATGACCCAAAACATCTCTTCCAGGGATAAGAATGTCCCAGCCTTATAATCTCCTATTGCATTTCTTAAAGCAAGTGCCAGATGCCACTGGCAAATGGAGACCTCATGCCTCTTGCCAATAGTACAAAGCTGCCCATCACAAGGCAACAAGATATGGCGCTTTAAAGCTGCCTAGAAAAGCTGGCACTGGCCCTGGGCTCATGCAGAAGTAACAACGGGCAGGTAGTTGGACTTCCACAGTTGGACAGATGAGGAAGATGAGGAGGAAACCTCCCTCAGCCAGATTGATTTTATTCTTGTATAGAAAGCTTGTGAGCCAGCCCACAAGTCAGGGAATCAAAGGACCCTCAACAGATGCAGGGCTCCAGTTCCTAAGTTGTACCTCTCCCAAAGAGTTTCTAACATACAGCCCATGTCCATCCTCTGACCTGGGGTCTCCTACAGGAGTATGTATACCTGCAGGTCTCGCTCCCCAGGCCTTCTGCAGGATTGCACACCTGGAGCAATGGATAAGCCTCTCCACCCTCTGAATGCAAGCTGCCCTTTCTGTGCCACAAGGCCTCTCTCTGAATAACTCTTTTCCCATGTGGCCCTGGAATTTGGCTTCATCTAGATGTGGAAGTTAATTTGGATTAATGGAGGAAGTAAATGAAGCGTGTAATAGCTGTTCCTGAATAAATCCATGCGGGGACACATGGATTCTTGTTCCACTTAATTTCTGCTTTCAAAACTGACTGAATGCATGCAGAGCAAGGAGCACCTGCACTAGTAGAAGGGCATCCGCACAAGGATTTTTTCCACAATGGCTATCCCAAAACAACTCCATGTGTTGTCTCCTGCCCCCTTCCTTTGGAAAGGTAGGCTGAGCCTGGCACAGGCTGTAATACAGCTCCAACCACCTGAAAGGGTTAACTCCCCTTCTTCTACCATTTCTTGGGGCTGGAATATTAGCCCAATAATAGCCAGGTGAGAGGCTGGTGGGAACATTATTACACGGTGCAGCAAGCCTGAGGCATGGAATAAGATCCACAGGCACAACATACAACAATTTATCACGTACCTCTCCAGCTTATCTCACAAATATCACCTGGTCCCAATCCCTCCTGCTTATCTATCCATAGTTAGAACCAGTGTCGGAGAGCTCTTTGAATGCTCAGGCACAGGTAAGCCAAAGACCATGCGCCATCTAACAAAGAAGCACAGTCCCTTCCCAACTAGCTAAGGCATCTAATCTATTCCACCTCAGACACCGTTTCTCACTCATGCAAATAATATCATTTCTCCAAGACCATTTTGAGAAAGATACAGGGCTGGCAGTGTTCAATTTCTATCTTCTCAGCCCACCTCCTGCTAATGGATCATATCAAGGCTGCTCCAGTGAGTTAGGAAATGTGTTCCACTAGCACCACAGCCCGGGTCTGCCGCAATGTAAACAAGGCAGCTCGCAAACTGCCATGCAACTAAATTATCCAGCAGAGTTGTAAAACATAACGCACACTGTTTTCCATTTGAATCCTGACGGCAGGGTAGCCCGGGGAAGGGGAAGGGGGAGGGGACTTCCGGAGCATGAAGAATCCATTTCAAGGGAAGACATATTTAACTGTGCCAGCACAGCGGGAAGCAAGGCAGTAGGGGAAGGCCATGAATGTGCATTGTCAGGCTCTGTCTGGGACTGCCACCCTTCCTGATTGTCACAGTGCAGCCTTGGCTCTCCTCGCTCTTTCCTATCTCCTATACAGCCTGTGGTCAAAAGGGGTAATCATCGAAGCAAGGCATGGACAGGACTGCCAGTGGGAAGGACGAGGAAGGGCTAATCAAAACTCTAGCCATGCTTTGGTAGGTACGAGGATGGGGATAAGGATGCTTTCTGGCTCTGCGGAAGGTGATTAACGTGCCATTCAGAGAGACATCGGATACAAGTTGTTACCATGCAAGAGTAACTGGGCAGTCTCTCTGAGGCGAGTTGGTGGGCTGACTGGCAAGCAGGCTGGCACTCTTGGCAGAGGGGCTAATGACTGAACACCCAGCTTGACCTGTGTGGGTGAGTGTCCCTCCTGTCCCTCCAGGGATTACATGAGACAGGAGCCCACACTGCGAGGCTACTGCCTTTCCCCAGTACTGAAGTCCACACTTCCCAAAGCATGAGTGTTGAACCATGCACGTGGCTATTCCAGCATGCACAAGTGCATGTTGATGGTCACTGAAATATTTGCCCATTGCAGTGTGAACCTCTGCCAGCAGTAATTTATACAAGGCCCATTCTGCAACACTGAAGTCAGAGTGGAGCTTCCCCACTGACCACTGCCTGCTAGATCATGCCTACAGAAAAGGGTCTACACTTGTGGGGGTTGGGGGGGGGGAAGAAATCAGTACCAACTTAGTAAGTGGAATAAGAGGAGAAAAAAGGATACAGACAATCCTCAACTTACAATGTTTCGAGTTATAATGCTTCACACTCATAATGTTTATAAATTTACACCCTGTTTCAACTTTCCAACATCGGTTTTGACTTTACAGCACTTGATCCGACACAATGCCACACCAGCGAACAAGCTGCTGCCTTGCCCATCTCCCTGGAGAACATCTGTCCAAACTTCCTTGGAGGATTTCTTAAGGAAAGCAGACAAGACTCCAGAAAAACCTGCAGCCGAGACTCCTGAGAAGACTCCAGCTAAGAGCCCTTCAAAAAGTCCAGCAAAGTCACCTCAAATAAGTCCTTCCAAATCAATATGATTGCTAGTTACAATAGAAATACATCAATGTAGCTATATTATTCATCTATAATTGATCAAGTACAAAATTCTGGGTTATTTTTTATGAAAACAGGGTATCGGGTCTTGGTTCAGGAACAAATCTCCCATTTATAACATTGTTTCCTATGGGAAAATCAGCTCCAAGTTACAACGTTTCGACTTAAGAGACAGTTTCAAGAAACAATTGTGTTACAAGTCCAAGGACTGCCTGTAGTTTCGGACAGGAAGTGAAGAAGACTATTCAATCCAACTGAAACTTCAAAAAAACTGAAAGAAGAACTGACTTCCCAAGGGGAGTTTGGCTATGGCATTGGAACTATGGCCCTTAAGAGCATACAGAAGTAAAGCTGGAAGGGCCTTCACAAGGTCACCTAGTCCAGACCCCTGGTCAAGACAGGACAACCTACCTCACCCATAATAGTCTTACCTTACCCTTAATAGAACCTTACCCTTACCTTGCCCTTAACGGTCTTCTGGTGTTTCAGATGTTGAGCTTGTCAGCAGAAATACAGCATAAACACAACAAACAATCATCTTCCCTTTCAAAGAATTGGTCACAGCCAGCAGGGTAGTATCTCTATAACCTACCTGAGATATTGGTGGTGATCTCAGTCAGTGCTGTCTGGCCAAAGCCCTTTCCAGTGCGTGCCCGAACAGAGAACAAGTAGGTGGTGCCTGGGTGCAGGTTGGAGAAGACATGGTACGTCTCATTGCGGAGCTTGGAGACAGTGCGCCGCGGGCCGGGCACATTGACCGCAGGGTCTGAAGACTCGATGCTCTGGTAGCTGATCTAAGACGACAGGAGAGGCCATCAGACAGGTGCTGGTCACGGTATGTGCAGCAGGCTGGTGCAAGTGACAAAGCCTGCACAGTGAGTTAATAGGGGGTGCAGACAGAAGTGATCATTTTTGCCCAATCTGGTTACAGAAAGCGGTCCATAGCCATGACCAAACAAGTGCATGGCTGCAGACAGCTTCAAAAATAGCCAATCGGGTGAAAATCTGAACCCTCATTGCACGAGGGGTCAGATGAAGATGTTGCAAAACAAAGCATCTTCTGTAACTTCTGTCTGCACTGCTGCCAGCCTGTCGCTGTTCTCAGAAAGCGGGGGAGGGGGGAGCAGAGGGAGCTCAGTCTGGGGGTTTTTTAGCCCCTGCTGCAGGGTGGGGTGGGTCCCCCCGAGATGGGACGCTCCAATGCACCCACCCCACATTCCAGCACTGGCTGGGGAACCTCTAGAACAAGCTCCCTCTCCTCCCTTCCCCTCTCCCATCCTGAAACAGGGACAGGTTGGGAGTGAGGAGGGCCTATTGCTAGGGGAAACCAGCTGCAGGCTCCAGCCAGCAACTAGATCTCCCCCCGGCACCTCCCCCCGCAAAAACCAACAGTGAACTTCTGTTTAGAAGATCGTTGCAACTCAGAACGCTTCCTGCAAAGCTCTTTCAGTTACAGCAGGGAGCTGCACTTCTGTCTGTGCCTCATGGAGGAGAGGAAAGTATGAGGCAGATGTGCAGGGTATGCAGGAGGGGGGTTCTGCCCTCTGGGTAGATGTGATAGAGTGGGTTGAGTGCCACCATATGTGACGTGGATGTGGGGGAGGTGTGGAAACAGTTTGGGTATGGGTTTGGTTTGAATATAAAAATAGGTGTTACCAATCTGTCAACAATGTTGGTATTTCAGATCTGATGCTTCAATAGCTTGGAGCATGAGACAGATCCAGCACTGTGCTACCATCCCAAATGCACACGTCACAGGTCTTCACCTTCTGGTTCAGGGATCCCACACAGGTCTGCCCAGGACCCTCAGCCCCAGCGTGCAGCCCCTGCCTCAATTGGTCCAGCCCTGGGACTCTGCTCAGTGCTGTCAATGCCCATCACATACAACCTATTCCTACATACACCTCTGTCACTAGCTCTTTCGCCTCTGCTTTGTTATTCCCACCTAAGGGCCTGCTCAAGCCAAGCAGTCTGTGGGATGGAAGCTCACTGGGATTCATTGGCAACGCGTAAGGGGTGCACGCGGGTGCATGTGCACCCCCTGAGATCAGCCGTGCACCCCCTGGAAACCCAGCCACGAAACAGGAAGTGTCAGCGGAAGTGCAGCCCCCTCCCCTGTCAGCAAGAGGCAGTGAGGAACCCCCCTGTAGGCGACCTGGTGCCCCCCAAGACTCAGGAGGCACCAGTCGCCCATGCTGGGATGTAAGATGAACTATCCCCCAACTCCTTTTTCACTTTAGATGTCAGAGAGGAGTTAAAGCTAACACACTCTGTGCAGCACAGAGACATCCGCCAGCCTCTCCAGAGCCTCCTGTTGAAATGGGTGATGCTGTCCTTTTTAAATACGAGTCCCAAGCAGGGCGTCTCATCTGAAAGCCATCGCAAAGTGATTGTAGGGACATTGAAGAGGAAGAGAGAAAGAGAGAGAGAGAGAATGAGACAGACTCCACCCTACGGTCGGCAAGAGGCAGGCTGGATCGCATGCTCCAAGTGACGGGCTTGAAGGTAGCGGCACCAATGTGGTTGCCCTTAATCTCCAAGATTAAACCCGGCATTTCCAGAATGAATGCTGAGTCCCCAGTCATCATCATTCCCCAGAAGCCGCAGTCCAGCCAGGAGCGCGGCAGCACAGGGAATGGAGATAGCAATCAGCTTTTCATTTGTCTGTTTCCTTGCTCTAATAATTTTGTTGATGTCAAAGAGGCTGAAGCAAAGGATGAAAAGCAGAGAGATAAGAAGGAGTCTTGCCTGGCTGCATTTGGGAGACATGGCGGAGCCCACACACACCAACATGCCCATTCAAGAAATGCACCAGTCACAATGTGACATTTTCTCTCCACATTGAAGTGAGCAGAAAGAGAGACAAAGCAAGTTTCTTCTTGTTGCCTTGCTGATAAAGGAATCAACTCTATCAGCTCTTTCAGTGTAGCCTGACCAACAAGGAGCAGGTCTTTTGGGTTCCCAGATGTTATAAGGCCTTTGGGACCTGCTACAGAAAAACAGCAGCTGGGAGAGCTAATACTCCTCAGCTTTTAAATGGTGTTTCCCCTTCTCACATGCATGCTTAACTGATGCCTCACTGTTGTCTTGAGAATTAACTGGGAACCATCCCCTGGGGAAACAGAGGCACTGGGAGATTTCAAAGCAAGTTTTCCTGTGCAGCTTCTCATTTTGTGCGCCTCATTTTTTGGCTGTCCAGTGGCACTGGGCTAGGCTGTCACTGTCAGAGATGTTAAGACCGCACAACTCCCAATGCCCTTTGAAGATCAGGCTCTGTATGTCTATAATTAGGTATCTTGAAAAGAACATACCCAACTACTGGATCTACAGGATGCAACTAGGACTATCCAGTAAATCAGTGGCAGAGACAAGATAATATCTTGGGTTATATTACTGTTATCATCATTACTTTTATTTAATAATTATTATTTTTGCTTTCTACCCAGTACATTTTAGGTCATATTTCCAAGGCTCAAGTAAAAGATATATAGTATGTTAACAAGGCCTGATACATTCAAGGGGTAGTCACTAAGTTATTGGTGTGTGCATCACACCTGGCCCCAGCAATTTTTTCCCATAGCATTTAGCAATGGCTTAAAGCAGAGCTGTCCAACTGGCACACAAGGCCTGCAAGGGGTTAAGTTAGCATCCCCAGGTTCCTGCCTGGCCACCACTCCTCAACTGCTCTGGTTGCAAGGGCAGCTGGAGTCCCCTGGCTTTCCCTCCCTCCTCCAGTTTCCACTGCCTGCCCCTGCAGGGGAGGTGGTGCATGGTATGGGGGGTTGAGGGGGAGAAGAGCATGTGGGGGCAGGGCACAGCACAGCAGTGTGTGTGGGGTGGGGGTGCATGAGCATAAGGTGCAGCCGTGGGACAGGAGTGAGGACAAATGGTGCAGCAGACAAGGAGAGAAGAAGGGGCCATCGAGTGGTTTGCAGCCCAGGAGGATCATGGCTCGCACTGCTACAGTCTGTGGGCATGCAGTCGCTGCTGGTGTGGCCCTTGGCTGCTTAGAAGTTGGACAGCCCTGGCTCAGAAAACATACCTCATACTGGGTGATGAGACCGTTAGGCTCCACTGGCTCTTCCCATTTCAGAAAGATCATGTCCTCCAAAGGAGTGAATGTGAGCGACTCTGAAGCAATGCCTCCGGGGACTAAAATAAAGAAAAGACAGACAGATAGGATTCAGCAGGGAAAGACAAGTCAGCTTCCCTGAGACACCTTCTGATCTCAGAAGAGTCCAAAAAAAAGCATAAAAAAACCACAGATGCATAATGATGCCCGTTCCTCCCAAACAGAGCCCAGCCACTGCCATACAAAAGACTGTATCCAATTCAATCCCCCAACCTCCGTAAAGGCCAAGAAATTCAGAGTTCAGGTTGTAAAGCCCTGTAGATCAATGCACCTGGTAACTGCAGAGTTTGTGGGAGCCGGGTAACTCCTTAACAAGGCATTTTTACTCAGCACAGCGAGAAGCCAGAAAGCAGCCACACAGACTGTCACCCCAGACCCCCAGCTGGTGTAAGGTGCCATAGCTCTAATGCCTTTCCTGGAAGTACACCCACTTACCTCTGTTCAGGATCTGGTCCTCAGGATTCCCAGACTAAAACACTCCTCAGCCAGTAGCAAATTCTTAGCACTCATTCACTGCTTGTGCCGGAAAGCTTGCAACTAAAGAATTTATTTTTTTTTGCAAAAATCTACTTGGTCTAATCAAAGAGATCACCTCTGCCATGAGTTCTGATTCCTTTTGCCTCTACCAATACGACTACAACCTAGATACCCAGCACTCGTTCAGAAACCTCTGGAGCCCAGGGGGGCTACATTGGACCTGCCTCAGTTCCTTGTGACAGCTGCAGGTCAGAAGTGTCAGAAGTCACTGGCTCTACCATCTCCTGCCAGCCCCAGATAGAGAGCATGGAGCTGCCACAGGGGGTGGGGAGGGGTCTGCCCAGAGAGCCTGGGAAAGACGGACCAGGGGTTTAGGACACCAACATGGGAGTTGGGAGACCCAGGTTTTATTTTTTTCTGCTGTGCCACAGACCCCCTGTGCAGCCACGGGCAGGTCGTGGGCTCTTTGTGCCCATAGTCTCCACCTGTAAGACAGGCACAGCAGTACTGTCCTTGCTCACAGGGGTGCCCTGAGGCTAAATATATCAAAGGCTGTTATCAGCTAAAATGCTGCAGTGATGGGGCTGTGCACGTACCTCGACAAAAGTTACAAAGGGGCCATTGTGGTTTCAGGGTTGTTCTGGAGTTCATCAATAAACAAAGGGGGATGTAAAAGCCAAGGATCTGCTCTGACACCACTGAATACCTCTCTATTTCCTGCTTCTGAGTCAAGCCCCTACCTCAGTTCATCCAAAGGTAATTAAACATTACAGCCATTGGGATCCACAAGACTGTGCTAAAGAAGGAAATATCAGACTGAAGCTCTGACAAGTGCTTCCCCACTGCCCTCTCCCAGCTGATGATCTGCTGCTCCCTGCAGAGAGGAGATAGGAAGAGGATACTCTCTTCCCATACCACCTTACAGTAATGCCTTGAGCTCTGCCAACTCTCACCAGCTGGCACTTGTAGCTTTGAGAACAGAATGCAGCGTCCAGACTGACCTCCTTACCCAGCTTCACACCTGACGGGTCATGAGACCCTGGGCAAATCATCTGACCCCTTAAGACTTTCATATGACCATCAGAGAAATGGGGCTAATAATCCTAGTTCACAGGGCTGCTCTGGGGCACAGTTAAGGAATGTCTGTGCAGAGCTTTGGGATCCTTGGATAATGTTTCTGTCTGGACCTACAGAAACCCTGCACTGCCACGCCATGGCACAGAGCACAGAGAGCAGCCTCTGGAAAGTAGAAACAGAGCTTTCCTTTTCCACCCATCTAGAGCACAGGGCAGATTTACTGACATATGGATAAATGCTCAGACCTCTCCCCCCACCCCTCGTTCTTGCATTGGAGGTAATAAACCTCATGTCCACAGTAAGGCAAGGGAGGCAAAAGCAGAACCTGATAAAGTTTAACAGCCCAAAGAAAGAAAAAAAACCATTTCCCGAATCTCCCTGCGTAATCTTGTGCATTCTGGCCTGATTGCTTCAACAGGAGCTCTCAATTCACCATAAACCGGCACTCAAACCAACCCACGGATGTTGAATCTGTTGGCTATTTCTGCTCGTATATATTTTATTGGGGCATCTTAATTGCATTCTGTTGAATACAGTCAGCCCACCACTTTGGAAAAGCACAACGGTAAAGAGAGAGACACAGGTGCTGGTTGGATTCACAAGCAGAATAGTCATGACGAGTGCGCTAAGGGAGAGCACGTTTGGAATAGCCCGGCTTTGGATGCTTGCCCAAACATGGTCTGCAAAACACAGCAGAGGATCTGAGGAAAACAGGCATTTCTGCCACACTTAGATGTTCCTACCTGGAATTAAAAGGAAGGGTGGAAATGCAGAAGGTATCAATTAAGCTCTGCAAAGGAGTAATTTGTATTACATGACCAGCTGGTCACCACTGGGCTCACCCTTTGTGTTCTTTGCTGCACAGACCCAAGCACAGTGAAGGGCAGCCTGTGCTGCAAAGTGCTTACCATCTAATAGACAAAGAGTGAAGGAGGGAAATGACTAGTCCGTGGTCTTGCCACAGAGAGAAAATGAAGCCCAGGTGTCCTGACCAGCACTAACGCACTAGCCTGCTCTACATTTCCCAAAAGGTAAAGGCTCTAGCACAGGAGGCAATAAACCTCATGTCCTTGTAGGCGAGGGAGGCAAGAGCACTAATCCATATTAGAGACTGAGACTAGAGCCCAGGGAAGGGGCAGGTTCTCCTTATCCAGGCCTCTCTGCCCCACCTGTGATGAGATCATGCCAAATCCCTGCTGAAGTCCAGGCCATCACTTTACTTTGCCTCACTTGCTCCAGCACTCACTGCTGCATGTCAGACTATACTGAGATGCCATCCAGTCAGCCAAAAGCTGCTATTCATGGGACTGGGGTGGACTACGGCCTTAGATAATAGTACGTGCTGCCAAGTACCGACTTTTCAGCTCCGTCTACTCTCCTCAGGTATGCTAGGCTCAGCTCCCTCTACCTCCCTGGTTCCCTAATGCTGGTGGTCTCATGCTCTTCAGTGGTCTCAACTAGAAAGGCTGCACAGTGCAGCCAAGATGTACCTTTGTATCCCCGCCTCTTGTGGTTCTGAACCTTAATCTTTGGGACATTGCTCCTACCTGGTTAAGAGGCAGGAAAAGCCTGCTCCAAACCAAGTCACTCGGGGCCAGCCCTGTAACCAGCCTAACCAGCCCCAGACCTACTCTCTGGGTCTGCCTGGGACACATTTAACAAGGTCCCCTTCCCATCTCCAAAACCTGCCCCTCCTCCCTTGGTGCTCTGTGCTTCACTTGAACAGAGAACATCCTCTCACCCCACCCCACAACCCCTTCATCCAGCACCAAAATATCCAGCTCTGAAAAGGCCTCAGGCCAGAATGTATCATCATTTTTACAATAGCGTTGACTCAAACACACAGCAAGGCAAAACAGACACCGACCCAGGCTGCAAGTGCTCTGGAGTGAGTCACAGTAGCAATGACAGAGCGTGGCCCCCTCCCAACAACAGAAGCATCAGACGGTGCAAGCAGAAGAGAGACCGGCCCCTTTCATCTCCGCTGCCACCCACCTCGGGGCGGGGGGAAGCTGGCTACGGATCTCAACAGGAGCAGTTAGGCAAGTGCTGAAAATCCTAGCCCTACGTAACATCCACACCTATAAACCAGGGACTTAAGCTTCCTGGTGACCTGACTGCTGCACCCTCCCATACTGCCAGGGCAGACAGAATCTCACATAAGCTATTGTTGGAAAGGACCTCTTCGATTACAGCCCTCACCGGCTCATCTTCGGAAACTGAACCTGTGGATCTGAAAGCCACAAGCCTCTACGGTTGGAGCTAAATGGACAGACCCAGTTGCCTAAAACCAGCCGTGGACTCACAACGTTGTCTGCAGGAGCCAGCCACTAGAGGAGGACAGAGCCCCGTGGTCGTAGCGTGGGTACGTGTGTATTCCACCAAGTGACAGTCCCCTTCACTCTCACAAGCCTGGAGACTGTGCTGAGTGCTGCCCTGATACTTACTATAAAAGCCTTGGGTAGCATCTAATCTGCGAACAATCTGGCAGGTTTGGTGTGGCAGAGCCATTCCCTCTAATTAACAACAACAATAATAATAATAACCACAAACAATAACAACAGTTGAAGACACTAGGATCAATATGCACTCATTGAGCGTGCATCTTTTTTCATCCCCCAACCCAAGGTTGTTATTAAGGAGGACAGAACAGGCAATTGCTTTGCAAAGATCACTATTCATGAGCAGTATCATCTGCTACAAGCTTTAATGCTTGAAAAATGCACCCTCTAATTTCAGGCAGAGGGAGCAATTATACCCACTTAAAAAAAGCTAAACGCTATGCACAGGGGCTGAGCTGATGAAATAACAGCTAGGATGAAAAGTCCAAAGACATTATTAACAGCCATTAGCTGGGCCTTCCTGAAACTGCCTACTTGGAAATAGGCTTTTTAGTTTTACATGCGATACAGGCTGCATTGAAACCATTGCTATTTGTTTTGGGCTCAAAACATCTTTGTTAATTCTACAGTTTGGGATCCTGGGGGACTGAGTCAAATACAAGTCTTACCCTCATGTTTCATTTTGTGCATGAAGGGCCAAGGAGGAAATTACTTGGGTCAAAAGCCCTAAGGGTTGCCCAGTTCAGTGCTGAATGGGCATTTTCAGGGTTTCAGTACAACACTAACTTTTCCAAGACTCACTGAAAACTCAACTCAGGTTTGCTCAAAACAGGTTGCAAACCCTGGCTAGAGATGTACCTTTGTAGCAAAAGCAGGTGACTTGCTTTCATGCACTGTTTCCTCTTTTCTCCAGGAGCGGCTTGGACTTTGGTCAAATCCATCTGTTATCTACAATGTCTCCAAAAGGTGCTCAGCCTGTATGTAGCACCTTCACAAGCAGTTCACAAGCAGTTTGTTGCACGTGTTCAATGTTTGAGCTATTCTGATTAATTCCAAATGGACGTGAAGGTGATATGGAAGTGCTCCCAGCCCTTGGCTGGATCAAGGCAACTCAGAGTCAAGAG